CATAAGAAATGGTGATGAAAGGGGGTGCAGCACTCCCTCCTCCACAGGTCTGATAGGGTACAGAAGTTGCAGGGTGAGTAACAGAAGCTTTCAGTGAACAAACATCGCTAATCGAGTCAGTGACAAACTCTGAGGACCCCCACAGCTATCGACTCTTCAGCCGAACTCCTGCCCGCCTGTGTGTCACTGGAGAGCTCACCCAACTCCAGGAATCCCAGCCCTCATCCTGGCCCATGCAGTACCTGGAGAGCACATGCTGGGAAGCGCACAATTGCTGCACTGCCCCACCATCCCTGTTGTTACTTTGCCACATCATCGGGTGAGGAGTAACCCTGAAATCACCTTTACTTCAAGCCAAGTTAAAGTGCAGATGCTTACAAGCAGCCTGTATTTACAACACCCAAAGTAAGCAACAGTTACAGTGTTTTAGGAAAAACTTAGATGACAAAAATAAAAGGAAAAAAAAATATTATTGACATTGCTCTTCAATATGAAATCCTCCTCTCCCAATGCCCAGCTAACCTGCTGCAGATACTTTCCTGGGGTTGTTTTTCTATATCGCGTTCATCTCAGATTGCATTCGACTGAGACCACCTGGGCCAAAGACATTAGCTTTTATCACTACTCATCTTTTATAAGCCCTGCTGACAGTTTGGGGAAAATTTAATTTTTTCATTGAAAACAACGCCCACAAAAGAGATGCAGCTTTCCTCCCAAGTCCCTTCTCCAGGGGCAGAGGAGACACAGTATCAGGAACCTAACAAGCAGACATAATACCACCAAGGGTTACAGAGCACTCTACCAGCTGTATGAACATGCACATGGATTTTACAGAGGTTTGGTCAGGACATAAATTTCAGCCATTGTGGGGCTTTCTTACTGAGCACTTAAATGAGTTATATCATGGATTTTCTCTTCTGTGCAGAGGCTTATTCCTAGGAGCACATAGTAATTGGCAGAAAGAGTAAGCATTGTTTATGACAGTAAGCAATTGCAGAAAGAATATACAGAAAAGCAAAAAAGTTAAGCTAAATCAGTTCAGTAAGTTGTGTGTTGATCAGAGTCATATTAACAGCTTCATACAGTGTCATCAAAAAAGACACAGAGCGGAGCTCAGGAAATGCACATATAACACGAGGAGTAGCAGGGTATTACCTACCAGCACAGTTTTGAGGTGGTTGTACTGCTGTGTGAAACAAAGACCGTCTCCAGAAACTCACTGCTCCTTCTAGAAGGAGACTATTCCCCTACCTTCAGAGGGCCCAGTTGGAGAAACACCCCCACAACAAGTCCCCAGCCTGCCACCTTCACCTCTGCACTCAAGGTCCATGATGCTGTGGGCATCACCACCAGGTACACACACACCCTCTGCGCAGCTGCAGCAGCACTGCACTCCCACCACAGCATTATGGCAGAGAGTTGTATCAACACTTGGAAATATTAACACTCTGATTTGATCTTATGCTCCCCCAGCGTAACTCACAACTATCTGAAACAGTCCAGACAACCTTCAGCCAAATGTGTAAGTTTGTGTCATTCTCCCAAGTTGGCAAATCTGAATGAGATTTTGGGTGTAATGCACCACGCAGCACATTTTTCTGCAGTAGCATCAGAATCTGGAGAGATAAGTAACAGTAATAATTACTTGCGCAGTGAAAGGCTTAAGTAAAAACCATGCAATCCCCAAGCGCACCTTCCAGCTGAAGTCAGGCTATCATCTAGCCCAGCTCTCACTGATGTCAGCAGGACACTAGTGCCAACCAGCGAGAGAGAGACCTTGTGGTGCACAGCCTCCTTCCAGAGGTCAGCTCTGGGACATTCGTAGCATCCTTGCGCTTTTACAGTGACATAGAAAAACCAGCACAATACAAAGACAGCAAGTGATACTGAGGATGACAGCTATATTATTCCACTTGTTCCGTACGGGGACTGTGCAGTGCTGTCAGTCTGGCACCTTCTGCTAGCACCAAACAAAACTTCACAGCCTTTATATTTCAAACACTTTGAAGCAGCTGTTCAGCAGTAAAATCTTTTCGTGTGTAGTTAGACCATTTTGGAGCTGTAAAGTGAGCATATCGGTAAAGAGGAATTTACCTACCAGGATGAAGCATGTATGTTGCAGCAGCAATTGAGGTTAATGTTTAAGAGCGTGTAAAAACATGGGGAAAACATATATGCTCCTCAGTAATAAACGTTCTTTGGAATAATTCTGGTTAGGAAATCATTTACTTCTGATTATCTCATTATCAGATGCTGACACGGTGGGCAAAACCTATCTGCTATGGGGTCCACAAATGGCATTCATCCAGGTAACCATGAGGCCAGTGGAACACCTCTGGGATTGTCCCAGGAGCAGACATTGCTCCTCCCTGACTGTGGTCCGCTAGAGATGTCTCTGTGTGGGAGGGGAGAGTACATGCTTAGAGCACCCAGGACAGAGTGGCCTCAAGGCCACCTGAATTTAGGCCACGACAAACCTCTGGACAGTGCTGCCCTCAGATGAAGATTCAGGTGGTGCACAGACACCCCGGTCTATACCAAACCATGTGAGAACTGTGTCTCAATTTGTGCTGT